GTGTGAGTGGCAAGGTCGTCTGGTAGACAGTTAGTGTGTTCGGGTGGTGCTAGACATATTTTATTTTATTTCGCTTAAGCTAATGATATTAAACGAGTGCAGCAGATTGTGTACCACTAGAATTTACTGTTAAACAGCTTAAGAAAATACAGGATTCAGAAGCGCTGTTGATGTAATTATTAATGGACAGTCAAGATATATTCTGGCTTCCGTATATATTTATCCAACTGTTCATTAAAAAAATTAAAGATGGTCTTCTTTAGTGCACTGATGAAATATTCTAAGACTACTTTATTGATTGATAAAGCTTTTACTGTAGATACAGTTGTTCCTATTACTGTGATGGGAGATTTCAATGTACATGTCAAACGAAATGAAACATCATTTGATTTCATGAAACATCATTTTAATCCCAATAAGATGCCAAGTAAATATACAAGTACACTTAGCAATTCATTTATAGATTTAACATTTATTAGGAATATAACTGCAGACATATTAAATTATGTGTCTTATTTCTCATATCATAGACCAGTTTTACATAGGGTCATTTTGAATGAATGAATGTAATAAATAAAAAATAAAATATGGAAATCTGAAAGCTTTCAGATTTTATATTACACCCAAAGAGGCGGTTTTTTAACGTTTTGCGTATTACCTTTATTTAATTAAATATCATGTTCTTCGCACTTAAACTATAAAATTCGATTCAACAGCAACATCGCAAAATAATTTTAAAATGAGCATATCTTTAGCATTTCCGATCCACAGTTTGGCGCGCTGGAGATAATTTTTTTTTTCTTCCGTACAGGGTTGCCATTGCTCGCTTTGAAATCGTTGAGTTTCTTAATCAAAAATTCGTTAAAGTTTTACAAAATGTGAAATTAAAAAAAAAAAAAAAAAAATCCTAATTCGGGTTTCCAGATGCCCATATTCTAGTAGAGGACAGCTTATTGAAAATTTGATGGCTCTAGGTACCGTTGTTTTTTGGCAGCGGGAGAAGCATACATACATTCATGCAGATTCTTCATTATTTAATTTTTTTAAATATAATACAGGGAGATAATATTTGGTGGCAACAATTTGAAAGTGAAGCGACATTTAAAGGTTTCGACGCAAAATGCCAAAACGTTACTGAGCTCCCTGCCTGATCAGTAGTTCGGATTTAGAAGAGGACTCTCCACCACCATGCAGCTGGTTAGGATAGTGGAGTTTATTAGTTCTGCAATCCATAAACATCAGACGACGGCGTTTCTTATGCTAGACGTGGCCAAAGCTTTTGACCGCGTCTGGCATAATGGGCTTATTTATAAAATGCTTCGTCTCAATGTCACCAGGGCGATGATTCTATTAATTTATTCTTTTATCACCAGTCGCACATTTGCCATCAGATACGGTAACTTCTACTCCCTCCTCAGACAAATTCAGGCCGGCGTCGCCCAGGGCTCAAATTTAGGTCCTCTCTTGTACTTGATTTACGCAATGGATTTCCCGCTTTTTGACGATAACATGAACTGCATCATAGCATGCTATGCTGATGATACAGCCATTCTGTCCTGTTCTTTAAATCCCGACAATGCAAATAAACGCATACAGGGGCACATGCGAGAAATTGAGAAGTGGTATCGTACCTGGAGACCCTGTATCAACGCCACCAAATCACAGCTTTTGGTTATCGGAAGACATAGAAGGAAAAACGTACACACTGAACTCACACTATTTAATGATAAAATTCCGAAAGTTAGCAAAGCAGCCTATTTAGGTGTGTGATTTAATACAACACTCACCTGGAACCCCCATATAACAACTGCTGTCGGCAAAGCAACTGGTATTGCTCGCAAACTCAACCCTATCATCAGTGCATCCTCAAAACTTGATCTCGCACGGAAAAAGCGTATTTATACATCAATTCTTCGCCCTGTGCTCACGTATGCTTCACCGGCCTGGTGTACCGCATCTAAGTATGATTTCCAAAATCTCCAAACATTCCAAAATATCTTCCTTCGAAAAATCACGGGTGCGCCCTGGTTCATCCGTAACGAGGATTTACACAAAGATCTAAAAATCGAAGCTATCAAAACGCACATCGGACATATTAACAATAACTTTTTCAACAAAGCGATTAGCAACGACACAGTTCATTTTGCCGATAACTTTAAGTATGAATTCTTAGAAGATGATTTCAACCTCCGCCCTTATGCCACCCATCTATTAACATTTGATATCCGATTCCTGTCCTTTGCACAGTCACTTTTTATTTCTCATCTTTTCAAATACACAAAGGCCTTAAAGGACAATGATCTTTTCACGTAATAATTTCACACACATGCATCATACATAGGACATATTATGACACCCTCACATCTCTGTATTCTTGCAACACAATAATTACAGACAAGGGCCTATATTTTTTCTCCTCCACCTAGTTCACCCATTAGTGGAAATCCAAATAAGGTCTCGTACGCGTGGAATCCCTGTTAAGGAGCACCTGAGGTGCTGGTAAGAGCGCGATGAAGTTCGCGCTGAGACCAGCCTAAGTAATGGTATCACAGCCAAAACGAAATTATTAACCCTTCTGATGTAACGCTGCTTTGGGCTAAAAATATGTGTGTGTGTAAAATCTTTGTTTGTTTGATTTGTTTTATAACATCTTCACACTTCCGTTAGTAATCCTATGCATTAAATACCAGTGGCTCTTTAAACTAAACATTAGTTCTGCAATCTATAAACATCAGATGACGGCGTTTCTTATGCTTAATTTCTAATGCTTAACTACCGTCAATTTTTTTATGACCACACTGTATACATGTGTGCGTCTATGTATGTACGTTACCGACTTTTAAGCATTTAATAAGAATAAGATGCGTTTCTTGTTTCGAAGCATCGCTATTAATGCAGAATGTAGCAAACATGTTATCATACTGATAGTTTCGTAATAAAATTTTCCAGTTAACGCTGACTCCAAACAGACGAAAAGGGAACAATTTTATTGAAGAGGGAAACCATATTTATAAGTAACATTTTATTCATATACAAACTACAATAAAACAATATACAAAGCAGATACAAGATAAGTATTTTGAGAACTCATTTCTGGAATTCATGCTGTAAAGAGAAAATAAAAAACATGAATCAAAAAAATTTGAACAGTATTAGTATTATATATTTATCGAAATTAATACAATTAAAAATTTTAATAGTGCGATTACAGTAAATTATTCTGTTTTTGTTTACAAAAATTTCTCCTAACTATACTGTTTCATTAACACGTTATGTCGCCATTTGTTTTTTGGACTTAATAACTTTAATTTCGGATTGTACGAAACAGTTTTAATGATATAAAATATGTAATCATCAGCCATACTTTACGATGTAAGCCGTAATTCAACCTTGACGATTTAGAAGAGACATCCAATCATAAATATTTATGGATCATTTCTGAAAAGAAGACGATAGTTTAGGAAGAGCAAGTTGGTCTATCGTAGTAAACAATGCTGCCAACTTTCGTTTGGCAGGCTTGTTTATTAAAAATAGTCTTAAATTTCAGTGTGTAATGACTCAAAACGGTTTGTTACGGCTCCAAAGTACCATTTGGGAGAATCTATGAAATGGCGAATCCTCAGCTGTTTAGAAGCAGGGCAAAATTTTAGAAGGAGTGAGTTATGCGAATATTTCGAGACAGTTTCTACGCTGTGAAAACAATTTAAGAATTTTGGAATTGCTGTAAATCGATATCTCTCAATAACTGCTCATCGTAACAGAATGTCTACTTTCGGAAGTTAAGTTCAAAGACTGCAGTCGCCACTGAAACTGTTGTATCACGTCAAGCTGTATACAGTAGATATATACTGAAAAAGGACATTATGCCTGAAAGCCATGATTTATGTATTTCGCTAATTTCTAAACCAAATACGGATCGCTTTAATTGATGCATAGACCAACAGAGCTGATTTGAACATCAGTGGTCTCGTGTTCTCTTTCCGGGTGAGTCCTGGTTTAGTTACATCTGATTCTAAACGTCTTTACATCCGAAGGGAATCAGGATAACGAAATCTTCCTTCCAACATTTGGTTATTACCCCTTTGGTAATGCAGGTGTGATGGTATGGGAAAGATTAGAGATTGATGGACTTACTCTCCTACACGTTTTTAGCAGTGGATCTGTGAGAGGCCAGAGGTATCGAAATGAGGTCTTAGAATCTCATGCAAGACCTTTCAGAGGTGCATGTGGGACTTTTTATTTATGGATGATGATGTTCGTCAACATCCAACAAAATTTGTTGACGAATTCCTTGAAATTGAACACATTTGTCGAATACCGTGGTCAGCAAAATTTCCTGATCTTAACCCAATAAATAACTGTGAGAGTACCTTGGAAAAGTATTTGCACAGAATCATCCTCTTTTTAGAGCTATAAATGACCTAAAGACGGCATTTTTGGAGGACTGGAACAGAATTCCCCAAACTGTGATTAGCAATGTTATTGCCAGCAGGAAACCAGGCTGTGATATGTATGTATAAGACAGGAGAGATTATATTCCATATTACATTCACAAGCCTTAATTTTTTTCTGAGCTATTTTCATCCTCTGAACTCTCCTTGTAACATATTATTACCATTTTTAGTTTCATGCTACAGTTTTATATCGTATTCAGTAGTTTTAAATTTTTTCTCTGTATTTATGTGATATGATATGATATCTCATTCCTCACAAATTCATAAAAGTGTTGTTTATAGTTTTTGAGAAATTTATGATTTCTTGTATGTAAAGATAATTTTAGAGATGAGTGTACATTTCTATATGAGAAATAAACGCTTATATGCAAAAACCTGCTCAATCACATACAATATAAACAACCTTAAAAACAATAAGTAAATAAATAAACAAAACAATATACAATATTTCAGCAATGCAATTAAAAAGTATTTAAATATTTACAAAAAGTTACAACAATGTTAAAATGGTAAATAAAAAGTGAATTAGGAGAATAATGATAGTACCTTGATTTGGGCAGTTTTCAGGTTTTACACAACGTCCGTCATTTGTTTTCACGAATCCTTTAACGCAATGACATCCTGAAACGCACATGAGAGGACACATTTTGGGTGGATTTTTGTAATTATTGCAGGTTAGAGGACAAGCAGTTCCACACTCCTGATATTCCTGATTTTCATCGCATACTTGCAAACCTGGAATTAAATGATACATTCATTATTAACTTGAAAACAGTCAACTGTTTATGTTGAAATGATTCATAGAATAATTATCATCTGCACATTAAATCCAAAACACTAATGCCGATTGCATTGAGTTGTTTCCTAACGCTTCATATACTGTCATAAAAGTATTGCTTCGTAGAACTCCCAATTATACTTTTCACGAAGTTTCTACAAATTTTTGCCTTTAAAAATGCATGTTTGCTGGCAATCTTTTTGTTTTTGCTTGTTTGTTAGTTTAAAGAATTCGTTGTTTTGGCTTGTTTTCGATGATGTAGAGTGAAACGTGCTTCATCTAATCCTTCACTAAAATGTTTTTAGCTGCAAAAATTATATATGAAACTAAGAATCTTGTATAGTTTTATATTTACACATATTACAGTCTTCATTAAAAAAATGGAAGCACCATGAAAAAAGTAACTGTTTTTATTGAAATTAATTTTGCATAAAGCTCGTACATAGGTAATAAAATGATCAGAAATTCAAGACCATATAGGAACCATCAATGGCTAGTAATAGCACATTGAATGTCCATATCAGTAATTGGTGAAATCCTCTTAGCTGCCATGGATGATTGTACACTTTAAGGTAAGGAAGAAACTGCTTATTTAGCCATTTTGCTAGCCAAAGTTAAATCGCGCAATTAAAATTTGAACCAATTCTTAGTCAGGCCAATTATATTGTAGTCCCCGACTACGAATCTATTTCGATTTGTAAATTCAATTTCCTCTTATCAAACACCCACAACTAACGAAGTTTAATTTCTATGCACAAGCTCAGCATTTTATGAAGTTCAAGCTTTAAATAAAAAGATTATTTTAAACCCTTTTAGCACTTTGTAACATATTCATAGACGGAGCCATAACCCTTTTGTCAGTCTAAGTAGGATTTAAAGGACTTTGTGTTAGATTTACACTTTATAGTACCCTATAATTCCTTTTGAAATATTTTGTTTAAGAAAGTTCGTCAAGACATTCTTTACACGAGATTTCTGAAACAGAATTTTCCGTGAGAGCTGTCATCCTTCTCCAACCCAAGTAGGTGATTACTGTTTTAACTCAGAATCATAAGCAAGGTAACAGCTTTCATCATGAGTTACTATTTGCGTGAAAAATTTTCTTGTTTTCCCCGGTCAACAGGAAAACATTACTACCCTTTGCTCAGCTTTCAAATCCGTAACAACAGAAATTCACTGGGTTGAAATAAATAATTTACTTCACAGAATAATGTGTTTCTAAGCGGATGATAGTTTAGAAGAGGCAAGTTTATCAATCATAGTAAAGAAATTAAAAATTTTTAGACCCATTTTATATTCCAAAGTGACACAAACCACGATAATAAATTTAAAATACCTGCACGTTTGCCACAAGTTTGCTCGCACTGCTCCTGTGTCTCGAAGTTATTTTTGTTTCCGCCACAGCCTCCGTAGATAAATTCTTGGCAATGGCCTGTTGTCTGATCAAAGTAATACCTGCGAAAAAATCCACGGCAAACTCCGGGCTCTGCTGGCAATTCACATTGAGCCGGCTGCGATTTCCACACTATTACATCTGTAACAGAAAACCATAAAATTTCGGTAAAATATTATAACAGTCTTCAGTTTCCAGCAATGATAATAAACACAATGAACATAAACGTCTTTTCCTGGTTTTCATTTTCGCAACCGTTGGTCGCAGACATACAGAATACTTCTAATTACACGAATGCTTTAAATGACGCATTCAAGTTTGTGTATTTTTTAATTTACAAAAAATCTAAAAAAATGAAAAAATCCAAGTTTCTATACGTTTGCCTGGAACCTACTTACATTTAAGAAAATTATATACTGATTATGAAAAATAAAATATAAAAAAAATTGAATCCCATGCGAGATAAAGTGACCAAGGTACTTCATTTCAAAGTTTGAGATTATACTGATGGCAAGAACACAAACATTGAACAACAAAAATGCTTGCATTTGTATGCAAGTCAAAATGAAATGTTAGTTTAGGAAGATGTTTCTACTATTAACTTCACATTAAATGATGAGCATTTTATGCAGATTGTTATGAAAAGTACTGATGAGTATAATTTTTTCCTAAAACGAAATCTTATTCACTGGACCTTACAGAATTCGTATTTTAAAAATACTGGCAAGCTTCAGTATTGACCCATTAAACAAACTGTAATATTACATTTGCAGGAGATACAATTTAAATTTTGTAATTTGGTATTATGTATCATGCTCTTTGTGGAAATTCATGTAACGCCCCTAGCTTACAGATTTTTATAAAAGATTTATGAAAACCAAACAGAAAAGTGACTGAAAAAGGTTCTCATAAAAGAGTTCCTATTATCGAGCTAAAGAAATTTATCGGACTGACATTCACTCAATCGTTTTATTTGCACTTTTAAACATGATCACTGTAACAAATGTTAAAATTTTTGTTTGTAATTAACTACATAATTTGCATTTAAAACGTATATAAAATTATTACTTTCTAAAAACCTTTCCCAATAAACTGTTTAATTTTTAGATTTTAAGACGATAATAGTCATTGTCTTATCGATAACGGATCCTTATATCCTTATTGGATTATGATTCAAAAGTAATAAAACTTCAGGAAAACATTAATGCATGTTTAGCATTTGGAAGCTTATAAAATATTTCTTCTGTGAAAACTTGGTTGACAAACTAGTTGTAAGAAAATTACAAATTAAAGAATGTTACACACCAGTAAATCGCAAAAGCGTATCATTGGTTTGGTTTGGTAGATTATGGCAAAGCACACGAGGGCTATCTGCGTAAGGGGATGGATGCCTTCCTGGAGTACTTTCTAAGGGAAACTGACTCGAATACACGTTACACATGGGAAAAATCATAAAAAACCCATGACGCCTGCCCGTTCTCTCAGAATTGAACCCAGGTCGGAAAACCAGTGTTCAGCGATTTTACTGCTCAGGGTCGAGTGTCACTGAATAGCATTTAAGGGGAGAAAAATCAAACTCGAATTCTTTAATTTATTAACTAACCGACCTCTCAATGCAAATTGAATATAACATCAAAAATCTGTAATTCTAAAATGAAATATCTCAGCCAATTTTTGTATACCATGGGAGTGACTGTTTTCTAATGAGTGTAAAATTTTTCTAACTGCGAATGTAGGGGGCTGAGAGAAAAGAGAAAAGAATTGATTGCGACATTTTTATAAAATTGATTTTAAGATTTAAAAATTCCGAAACGTGAACGTTTGTATCATTTGAAATATTTTTTTCACTGGAAGTACATTCTACGGTTGCGAAAATAAAGGCTAAATAAGGTCTTTTTATGAAAACGGTGTATACGATACTTTTGAAGATTCTGGATCAAGCTGCAACACTAATTGTACATTGAACACTTTCTCCAATTTTTGAAAATTACTAACCTTTGCAGTTTTCCAAACATTCTTCTTCACTGTCAAACCTGTTTCCATTTCCTAAGCATCCGCCGTAAACGAATTCAGAGCATGTTCCTGTCTTCGGATTGTAATACCACTGAACGAAATTTGCTCTACAAGGACCTCCATCAGGCTCCTGAAGGCAAGCCTTTTGCATATCTGAAAGAATACAAATGAATATGATTCAACAAGAAAAATATCTGCTGTGGCCAACCCATTACCTCCCCCAATTTCATGTTTTAAATAGAGTCGAGCAAAGTTGGAGCTGGTGTGTATTCAGAGTTCTTTGCATTCTGTTCTTCTCTTTGTCCATTTCGGACCGATTTCGATGGAGAACTGGACGCAATTAGAGTTTCAGCTGAACAAATTATTGTTAGAAGAATTCAAGTAAAAATATTGTTATTTTTTCAGACTTCCTTTCAGCCATTAAAGCGATTCCTAAACATAATGTGGCGGCATAAAAAATTATTAAATTTTGACAAAGAATTCTTTCCCTTCTAACCTCAGAAGGGATGATTGCTGTCTTACAATGGATTTCGGCTCATATTGGAATAAGTGGTAATGAATAGACTGATAAACTAGTTAAAGTCGGAACTGAAATTTTGCAATAAAATTTTATTGGAGTACAATTTACATCAATGAAAGGAATAGCAAAAAATGCTATGAGAAAAAAATTTGATATTAAATTACTTTTAAGAAATTAAGAATAAGGTATAGAGGAATTCAATTTGTAATATTCCGTATTCTTTCCAGTTCCATCACAGTTACGGCGTTCCGTTTGGAGACCGGATATGACAGTCTTGCACCGCATCTGCACCACATTGGTATATGTGATAGTCTCCTGTGCACTTTGTGCAGCCAGAAATAAGATGTACAGAGATTATTTGCTAAAATATTACCTATACAGTCGATATTGGTGAACTGAAGAGTTCATGCAGCGACTAAATTTTTTTTTCCAGTTTCCAGTTTCGATGTAGCTACTGTGATGAGGTTAATCACTTAATCACTGTATTTTGTTTTGTACTTCTATTTTTGTATTTCTTTTTCATACTCCGATCTCGTGCATTTCTGGTGCGTGAGAACCAATGATGTATAATCAAGTCCTTTTGGGAAAAAAAAAAAAAAAAAAAAAAAAAAACATCAGTTTTGAGTTAAGTATCACTTTCGACTGATAAACGAAACCTGATTCGTTGTTCCCAATCAGTAAAAAGGTCTGTCATACGAAATTTTGATTATAGTCCATTAATTACTGTCGCGTACGTATGGGGCTCGTAATGGACTGAATCCACACAGAGCCGATGACAGCTTGATAAAATGTATTTTCACAAAAGAAACACTTTACAGTTCTAGAATTTTTCACAAAAGTATTCGTACAGCTGTTCTCAAAATAACAGAGCACAATCACTACTTACCACTTTACATGACTAAAAACGTTAAACACAGTGCAATATAAAGCGCATGTAAAGAGTGAAGTTGGCACAGATATCTCTTAGTACTCTGAGTCAGCTTTGAAATAAAAACTGAGAATTGATACTTTCTCCGGGCTTGTATAGTTTTGCCCCGGCCGCCGAGAAATCTCTAGTACCTTCCATTTATTTCCTGTATTCCTCTTTATTTCATTATGTAAAAAATTCTATTTCATTGGGTAATTGAAAGAAATATAATTTATTTTGTTTCTAATTGAAAAAATGTTATATTATTAATTTACCGATAACATAAAAAATAAGTAGCATAAAATAACATAAAAATTAATTCTTAATTTAAAAATTAAAAAAATAATACAAAAATTCAATTTAAAAATTAAGCAGTATGAAAAATAAAACGAACAAATCATTGGGTGGCCTAATTTAACAAATCTGTCTGCAAAACTCTTAGAGTGATTCTGTATTTTTATACTAAATTTTGTTCAGAGTAAATTTGTTTGTTTGTAAAATGCTACTTTCGGATTATCCTATATAGTCAAAAATCTAACATGTTCTTTTTAATCATATACGAGTTTCAGTACTAAATATGAGAAATTTTGGATTATGTCATAATATAATTTTTCACGAAAACCTGTTCAGAACTTCAAGTAAAGTATCATTTCCGGCTTACGCATTTTAGTGAAAATTTACATTGCTGGCTACCCAAATTGCAACACCAAGATAGACAAGAGATATCACAACAAAATTTATTTAGTAGATAACATGTTGACCAAGTATCAAATGATTAAATTTATAGACTTCTGTGAAGTGTGGTTCCTTCCAGAACCAGTAGCCAGAGTAGCCGCCATTGTTGGAGATCACCGCTGCCACACGGCTCGGCATTGATTCAAAGAGACTTTGATGTGTTCTTGGGGTACAGCAGACCAAGCAGCTTCCACACGTTGCCAAAGTTGATCTGGTGTGGCAGCTTGGGATGTAATCTGGGTCAATCGTTCAGCAACCATGGACCACATGTCTTCTATCGGCGAAAGATCCAGAGAGCGAGCCGAGCAGGGAAGCAAGTTAGTCTGGCGTTTGACGAAGAACCCTTGGAAAATGCGTGCCACGTGTGGTCGCGCATTATCCTGTTGAAATATGGTTGTGGGAAAGCCCTGAAGGTAAGGAAGGACAACTGGCTCCAACACCTCGGAGAGATGTAGCGCTGGCTGTTTAAAATACCGGCAATGTGTACTAGAGGAGTGCGAGAGTGATATCCAATACCGCCCCATACCATAATACCCGGTGCAGGACCAGTGTGACGGTTCCAGACTCGAATCCGACCATCGTGGTGTTGCAGACAGAAGCGTGACTCGTCAGTAAAGACAATTTCATTCCATTCTGCCGTCCACATCCTTCTTTCATCGCACCATTGGCGGCGGAGACGTCTGTGGTTCTGCATCAAGGGTAGACGAAGCGATGGACGTCTTGCGTACAGACTACTCTGCTGTAAAAGGCGTCTAATGGTACGCGCAGACACTGGATGATGCGTTACAGACTGAATGTGCTGTGCCATGGTCCGTGATGTGACTGAGCGATCCGTGACTGCCATGCGCACAATGTTCCTGTCATCACGTGAAGTGGTGCACTGAGGTGGATGCGATCGAACACGTCGGCCCGTCGTACCCTCCTGCATCCAACGGTCACATATCCGTATTACAGTTGTTTGGTTTCGTCCAACACGACTACCGATTTCCCTGAAAGATAATCCACACTCTCTGTAGGCCACAATCCTTCCTCTGTCGAACTCGAATACTTGATCAAACGATGATCTCTGTTTACTACGAGGCATAATTGATCTTTTTTTTTTTTCCTTGAAAAAAACACAATGGCCGAACTTGAAATTGTCGAAAACTCCAAGCCTTAAATAGCGCTTTGAAGTGGCGCCCCAGGCGCGCGTGATGTGCGTCTGTGCTGAAATTCTATTCATTTGCATATCTCACCTCCGCTAATGCATGTTGTAAACTTCATGTTATTTGCATGCTTCCTTCAGGGTGTTGCATTTACGGTGGCCAGCAGTGCAATAGGTTGTTCCCATTGATATAAAAGTCTTACATACCAATATTGAAAAATTTGTATTAAATTTCAATATAATTTTTCATTAAAAATTGTTATGAGCTTCAAAATAAAGTAAAATTTCTGGCTGTCGAGTTTACCCAAATTTTTCAAATGGAAGCAGAAATCTTAAATACGGAGTATAGAAATTATTTAAAGTGTCATGTAAGATTTATCGCGGACAAAAAAAAAAAAAAAAAAAAAATCGTCACAGGCATACAGACAGACGGACATGATTGTAAAAATGGTGAAAAAGTATTTTGGTGACCTTCGTGTTTATTCATTGAAAACTTACCACTGAATTTTTGGACCGAAAATATTGCTATTGCCAACCATTTTCCCCAGCTGTTGGTCGTAGATGCATAATTCCGATTACAAAAATGTTTTAAGTTACTCAAATTCTGAAGTTTTATATTTTTAAATTTAGAGAATCAATTTTGTAAAAAATACCAAATTTAACTTTTTATTCTTTGCATTAATCCTTATACTTGTATTAAGAAAATTTCCAATATAGTCATGAACAAAAATAAAGCGCAAAATGTTTGATCCCATACAATAAAAATTGATCTCGATATCACAGAGGATGGGTTAGTTAATAAATTTATTCGTACGGAGGTACATACTTATTGTTTTATAATTAAAATTAATGCATTTAATTTTAATTAGGAAACAGTATGAACCAATTTATAGTTAAAATTTCACAATAAATTGTTTTCATTGCATTGAGGAATCGGTTAAAAATTTTAAGACACTAGTAAATCACACTCGTGGAGAGAGTTTCGTCTTTTTCCCTGTGCTGCGCGCCACGTAATATTAGGCGCTGAAAAATTCGAATTTGATAAAATTTTGAGCTCACTAGCGGTTTCGTACCTATATCGAGGTGCCTAGTAGTTTATCCCGGTCGCATTTCGACGACAAGAGGGAGGTATCGGATTTTCGAATCTGATGCTAAGCTCAAAGAGTACCGCCATACAAGGGGGACTGCCTGTCAGGTGTGATGTCCAGTTGGACTTGCTGACGGAAGAACTACGGGAGCCTCGACTTCGATCGACATTCGTGCTTTTTCCGTGAATCGAACTGAACCGCGGACTTCTTCGAAAGAGGAGGTACCTTCTTTCATGTATTTCAAATGCAAATGGAACTCTTCGGCAATACATACTAATCAAAATAACAAATCTAAACAATGGATCATTTTGCTCACGCGTCGATGAAGAACGCAGTGGGTGTGTATTGTACGAATAGTAAATCAAAATATTATTTTGGTTTTATCATTGTACTTAATTTTGTTACATTTGGTACGTCGAAAGAATTTTTTATTTAAGTCATGTAAAAGTATTCATATTCTCATGGAATTTTATTACTTTAGAATCATAAACTGGTAATTGTACAAAAAATTGCTTAAAATATAATTTCAATTTTAATTAATGCAGAAAAATATTAAGAGCTGGTTACTGAAGCCTGATAGTTTTTTGTAGGAAGATAGTTTAGAGGATAGTTTTTTGTAGGAAGAACTCCAAGATTCTGTGAATAAGATCTCCATTTTGAAAGAAAAAATTATATTAATAATTACATTTCACAGTAGTCTGCATAGAAATGCTGGTAACTCAATCTCTTACTATCATAAACCTTTTTCTAATCTGGTGT